ATTGTTTGCATTCTCAAAGTTCGATTATGATTACGGCATCCCTCTTCATAGTTCGAATTTTGAGAACACGGCAAATAGAAATATTATGGCAATATTATAGCAAGAAACTGGTAAAGTATCACGTTTTTCATTATGAATCGTATCCCACACGCTTCGGGTATAGGATCGATCGCATATGATGTAATATTCGACCATTCTAAAATTTTCCAAATGCCTAGGGCATTTAAGGGGAAAAAGGGAATAGAACCGGTTTTGACTAAAATAATTAAACAACTCTCATGGACAATCTAAGGTTCGCCAAGGATTGGTCGCTTGTGGACAGTTGGAAGTATAGTCATGGATGGACCATATTGACATTATCATGAATAGATAAGATTCTATTTAGAATGAGTTGTCATATGACAAATATGGAAATGTTTCCATATTGGGAGTTGGATATCGAGAATCAATGTCAAGATTAGAAACTTTTATGCAGGAAGGATGTTTAAAGGAATGTACTTTGAATGTGAGACTTCATGACTATGGAATTGTCTTGTAACAATCTCCAATAGTGCACTTTGTAATTTCATTGGCAAAGTCTTGGTGACTTTGGCGCTATGATATTACGAAAGGACCGTTGCATAAAATGTTAGAATCTAACATATTCTATAAGTGGAAAGGTTTTGGTATTCTCACACTTGTGGTAAGGATTGAGAATTGTGAAATAAGTGTTATTTAATTATACTATTTCACAAAGTAAGGACCATAGGTAAACATAGTGTGTATGCTAAGAGCATGGGACAATTATTGTCATAATTCAAGTAAGAAGTTGATTACCGGAAACAACAAATAATGAGTAATCAATATGGTGATTAAATAAAAGTGTTTTATTTATACTCAAAGGTTTGAGGCCATATAGTATTAATATTATTCTTGTGTTTCACTTTGAATGTTTTGACTTCCCGAATAATAAGATTATTCAAACCCTCCACAGTCGCTCATAATTTGGAAGTAGGTATGAAAGAAGACTGTCATGAATCCGTCTGTAGATTGCCTAAAGTGTTTAGACATAGCGCAAGTTTGCTGCAGAGTTCATGAGTGCTGCTATAAGATTAGAGTATTGGATTAAACCCACGCTCACTTGGATCGCTTCATGGATTTTATCACGAGTGATTAGTGAGACGATAATATCTTATATTTTTGAAACTGAGATGTGTGAGTTGTATCTTGCGAGTCGGTTACACATTGATAATATGTAAACGCACCAGTAACTTGGTGTTATAAAACGTATTATTGTGTGTGATTCGGTGAGTGAGTACAAGCGAGCATTAAGTCGAAGTTTATCCGTTCATTTTACCCAAGGTGGGATAAAAGCGATATTTGTGGCCCCCTCGATGATTTAGTGATGACACCCTAAGCGCTTGGCCAAGTCGGGACTGAGTTGATGTGTTCAATTGTAGTCTTTTGTCAGTTGCCATAAATCGGAAGTCGGGAAACAACATATAGACAGAGAGAATGATTTAAATCCATGTCTCAGTCTGTACGATATCTAGAATGGAGGAATATATGATCCCTTATCTAAAGGACAGGTTACTGATAAGATCAGAGTTCGACAGCGTCTTTGAGAGCTACGATTGCTAATCGGATTCCGAAGTCATACTTGTAAATTTAGTTATTAGACTTATCCAAGTGGGAGACTATTGGATTAGTGTCTAAGCCCATAACTATATTTGGTATGTACTTGACCCGGTTGTGCATGGTCCTTTTGGGTTGCCTTCACCAAAGCAAGTTGATAGGATGATTTATGGAGAAAGAGGATTAGTTATGATTCATTAATATATTATTAGAATAATATATTAATAAGAGAAATCATATTATTTAATTAATATTAGTCATAGATTAATTAAGAATTAATTTGGTGACTAAAAGAGATTAATTGAAGAAAGGGGACTTAAACTGTCAAATGTGTGATAGTTGAATTTTGGGCTGGGAAACCTAATGGATCAAAGGGGTGAACGAAATTATGATGGGAGGCCATCATATTTTCGTCCATGGCCTTATTCCAGAAGGCACCATGGGCTGCTTAGAGTTTAAGCTGTCCATTAGGGTTTTGACTGAAACCCTAACTGCCCATAGTATAAATAGAACCCTTAGGCTACAGAAATCGGCTAACCTATTCCTAAGAGCTATAGAGCCGATTTTAAGAAGCCTCCACCCTCTCTCCAAGATCATTCTTTTGCTATTGGTGTTTGTAAGCCATTAGAGGAGTGACACTTGTGACTCTAAGCTCCAAAGACAAGAAGATTCAAGCCATTGAAGAAAAGGTAATCATCTAGATCTGTTTTATTATGTCCAATTCGAAATATATATAACTAGATCTAGGGTTTGTAAGTCTTGGATGAATTGCATGTATAATAGAGAAACCTAGATCCAAGCATTAGGGTTTGCATGAGCATATAGGATATTCTTTTGGCCTAAAACCCATCAATTGGTTTACAAGGAAAGCTCTTGATCCTTGATAGGATCTCCGACATAAAACCTTGGGAGGTGATAATAATCACATGCCTTGTTATTTTTTATTGAAAATAAACTATTGAGTACAGAGGAGTAGTATGAATGCAAATACAAATGTCGTAGATGAGCTAGTTGTGTTTGTAGTGTGCATATTACAGGTGTATTTATAGTCTAGCCTGAACAATAATAAGTCCAATATTTTCAGGATTCTCTTGAATTAGTATTCACATGTTGTTTGACTTGGTATTCCCAGGTCTTAAGTCTGGTTGAAGTGATTATTCGTTGAGAATATGTCTTATTTGACTAATTCTGCACATATGAGAAAAATACTAGAAATATATTTGTTATAAATATTAGGAAATAAATATAATAATGGTCAGGATCTTGAGATGTGTCTGGGATCCTGAAAGTTCTTGAAGATCCGGGTTCCTGAATAAGGTTGAGGATCTTCGCCCTAACAATTACTTGAATACGTTGCCTTGATTTCTCGGATGATGACCTGAAAACTAGCTCCGTTGTCTTGATTTTCCCCGACATCGTGCGCATACTAAAAATTATGCATCGTCAGGGAAATCAATATATGTTCCTGTCACCACGCTCTTTGTGCAATATATATATATATATATATATATATATATATATATATATATATATATATATATATATATATATATATATATATATATATAGGGTTGAGATCCTTTGAGAACTCAAAGTTTCCCGAGAACCTGAGAACTAAAAGTGGAGCGTTAGATCAAAATTAATTCATTAAGAGCATGATCGTCATCTTACCGATCTAATTTAATGTTTAATTTCTTTTTGTTATTGGAAATATTAATAAAAAGTTCTAAAAATTAACATAATAAATCAAATTTTGGATTTTTTTTTAAAAAAATAATTTTGGATTTTTTTTTAAAAAAAATGGAGATTTTTTTATTTTTTAATTGAAAAAAATATATATTTTTAAAAAAAAAAACTGCATTTAAAAAAAAACTGCATTTTTTTCAAAAACAAAACTGCAATTTTTTCAAAAAAACTGTAATTTTCTTTAAAAAAAACTGTATTTAAAAAAAAAAACTATAATTTTTTCAAAAAAGCTACAATTTTTTTAGAAAAATAAACTTTTAAAAATCAATAAGTTTAAAAAAAGCTGGAATATTTAAAAAAAAACTCTAATTTTTTTAACAAAAAAAATCAACGTTTTAGATGCATATTTGTATATTTTTGAGTACATATATATATATATATATATATATATATATATATATATATATATATATATATATATATATATATCTTTCTTATACTATAATATTCGTAAGTAAACATATAAAAAAAATCCATTTTTATTTAATAATCTATAAACACAATAATACGAGTATTTTATTCGATACAAAATAAAATATAAAAAACCAAAAAATACTACAAAATTTCAAAGCGTTTTTATGTGTTCGTGTTCCATATTTTCTTTATTTTATCATTTTTCATCTCTTCAATGTTTTCCACAAATTCTTCCAAATCTACAAGAAAAAAAAATGATTAATGCAAGAAAACTCACAAAAATACATGTGTGCATATAGACGTAATTTATATGTGGTTCACTAATGATTTATATGCGAATCACATGTAATTCATATGAAATTTACTTGTGAGTTAAATGTAGTTAGCATGCGAATTACATGTGAATCACATGTAATTCATATGTGATTCACTTGTGATTTACATGTGAATTACATGTGAATCACATGTAATTCATATGTGAATCACTTGTGAATTACATGTGATTTATATGTAAATTACATACGTATCACATGTAACTCATATGTGATTTACTTGTGATTTACATGTGAATTACATGTGATTTACATGTGAATCACATGTAATTCATATGTGAATCACTTGTGGATTACTTGTTAATTACATGTGATTCACTTGTGATTTACATGTGAATCACATGTAATTCATATGTGATTCACTTGTGATATATTGCTAAACTGAAACAAATTAAAATAAACTAAATGGTTAGAAAAAATAAATAATTAATATGATTTACATGTGATTCACATGTAAATCACAAGTGATTCACATGTGAATCACAAGTGATTCACATGTAAATCACAAGTGATTTATGAAGCCTAATATAAAAACAATTAAAATAAACTATATGGTTAGAAAAAATAAATAATTAACATGATTTACATGTGAATTACATGTGATTCACATGTAAATCACAAATGATTCACATGTGTCACAAGTGATTCACATGTGAATCACAAGTGATTCACATGTAAATCTCTTTATTCATCATCATTTTTCTATATAAAATTTTTGATATTATGTGAGAATTACCTGAAATCCAAGAAATCTGCAATTGTAGAAAGCTCTCACAACTATAGCTTGATAGGAACCTGAATGGAAAAATCCGAATGATATTTGTGACACATCACACATACATTCAAAGAATCTGTTTGTAGTTTCTACTCTTGAAGAAAGGAAAACCCCCCAAATCATGAGATTATAAGTGTGTCTTGAAGGAATAGATCTTTCTTGAAATGAGGCCTTGACACCTGTCACAAAGAGTAGGGTTTCAAACAATTCTGCAAAAAAAAAGTTATTTTTAACTTTTTATAGTAATCTTTAGTTGGTTTTAAGGTTTACCTGGTAAAAGAATGGGCTTTGTCTTTCAACAGCTAAAACAAAATCATATTTGGAAAAGCTTTGAGTTCCTCCATTATATAAAGTTTCTGAAAATTCACTTGAGGAAGCACGTGACATGTCATACTCATAGGGTTCATTAGGGTATAATTTGTTCCATGTTTCTTTTGTTTCCTTTCTTGATGTTCTTTGATTAATAGAAGAGACAACATTAGAGTTGTCAAGAATACTTCCATAGAATTCTTCACAATCTGATTTGTATCTAACCTGTAAAAAAATATATCAATAACATAAAGTTTTTTACAGAAATTATCATTGGAAAAATGAGTATTTGTTTCATAATCATATACCAGATTAAGTCCGTGACAATGCCAAATCCATTCACAATCAAGAGGAACAACTAAAGGTCCTTCAGTGATTTTAGACTCTGAATGTTTAGCAAGCAATGGAAGCCAACATGCATTGTACCTGAAATTAGTTTTTTTCATTAAATTATAAGTTTTTGTTACTAAAAAAGTAATAATCAGTTGAGTTACCTATAGATTGCCCATTGCAATGTCTGGCCTTGATAAAGCCAACGGTTTCTGTCTACAACTGCAACAAATTGCAGCTAAAGCTTAGCAACAGTCAAAAGATCTTCACTGATAAAGATACTATGTGCTGCATTCCATTCAGACTCCTGTTCTGTGTCCATTTTGATACACACCTAGAAATCAAGATGAATACAAGTAAGAAATCTATTAGTTTTTTTCAATATAAGATGAGTGTTGCTACCAATGTGGAAAACTCTAAAAGAGCCCCACCAAATCCAAAAATAGGCCTGTAACTACAATTAAGATAAGAACATATTAAAATTATCTTACAAACCACTTCTTCTTTACTTATGACATAAAGAACGACTTGACAGAGAAAGTAAATGTGGATTTCCAAGTTAACTTCTAATAGTTAACAAATATTTCCCTAATTTGGCATTGTAGCATCATCTTTAGTGATAGCTGGTCAACAAAATCTTGCCAATCATTTGGTTTGGAAATATCCTTAGGTGGCAGGTCACAAGAACCATAGTCAATGGGATGAAATTACCAATACAAAAGCACAATTAACAAAGGTAAAAGGGTGAAAACATTCTTTGAAGCATTTCAACAAACACGTTGTTTGCTAAAAACAAACAAAAGATATTTTCCAACTCTGAACGGTTGAAAATCCATCAAGGTGAAGGAAACTAATACAATATTCAAGATTAGAGAAAGAAAATAGGAAACAAGCAACGGTAGTTACAAATATGAGAATAAATGAAGAACACTTATCCTTTTCTCCTTCTGTTATCTAATCAGTAGTTGGCGCAACGACAGAGGAAGAAGAGAGATCTCGATCGTAATGGAGCAGTCCGATGATGATAGAGAAACAAGGGAGAACGGATGTGCAATAATGGCGGACAAACCGATTCAAATCAAAGCATCTTCAGTGGAGTTTTTTCTATGAAGAACATGATATCAAGGAGTGTGGCGGTGGACAGAGGTAGAGGTGGCCGGTGAAGGGAGGAGGGAGGCGATCGACGGCGGATGATGGAGGAGGTTGGAGGCTATTCGACGGAGGTGAGTCGTCGGAGGATGGATCGTAGGTTTGAGCGAGAGAGGAAAACGGGTAGGATAGAGAGAGAGATGAAAATTTATTTTATCAGATATTAGATTTAAGAAATCATTTAATTATACTTTTATTCCTAAAATACCCCTGACTGGATTAATTAAGATACCCCTCCTTTTTTTGTCTACTTATTTATAAAAACGTCACCTTGCATCTCGACCCTTCCTTTTTTTGATCCAACGTTCCACCTTTAGTTATCGGGTTCTCGGGAAACTTTGAGTTTTCAAATGATCCTCTCTCTCTCTCTCTCTCTCTCTCTCTCTATATATATATATATATATATATATATATATATATATATATATATATATATATATATATCAAGTATCATCTCATATCTTCAAATTGGTATGGGTCGGTACCGCTTTCGATACAATGTCGATACATAATTGAGATGTGGTACTAACTGCTCGTCCTTACAAGACAAGATATTAAGAGAATGATTTATTCTTGAAAATATATGAATAATTATCGAAAGTTTCCTGCTCATTTTCTCTTTGTTATTCCTACATTTTTTTTAGAGCTTTGGTATTTCGGTTGCCTTTTGGTTGATTGGAATAGTCTATTTCGGGCGCATATTACTCAATTGTAACTTATTATTTAATCTCTATGCAATATAACAAGAAAAGAAACAAAATATGATATTCTTGCATTGTATTTTTAAAATACGGGTTATTTCAAATATAGATTGAGGAACCACACTGACATAATGTAGAATAACACTGTTAAGATACAAAAATTTACTAATGGTGAATTACATAAATATAAGAGTATAACACGTCATTTCAGGTAAACCCGATGAATTTAAACATTTTCAAGGTAGGATGTTGAGTGATTTTTCTTTAGTAGAGACAGTGCAATGGAAAGAAAACATACTTTTTATAGTGCCCGGAATCTGAAATGGTCCGGTTGGACTGGTTGTTCATTTCGGTAAACGGCAAAAGGTTGGTCAAATCCTCTTATTCCATGCTATGATGTTGTCAATTTTATAAATATCCCTTATTTTTATGAGTTGCTCGTTAAGATGGTCATATAAAATGAAAACGTATCACCACAAATCACATTTTTTTATTTAAAATAAAATAACAATTAGAAATACGAAAATATGTCAGCAACATCATGGTAATATTTTTCTGACCACTACAAGAAAAATAGTCATATGCGCCTAAAGTGTTAAAAGAGTGATTAACTTGTCATTTCATAAACTTTCATCGATTATTCAAGCAAATCTATGGTTACATGTGAAGAAACAACAAAGGTTTTGGATCATTAAATTCTCAAAATCGATCAAGTCTTTCTCAATTTCAATAACTAAAAATCACATACAAAAACCTTAATAGGTATACCCTTTAACAAACATTCCCTTCTTGGCATCTTCACCTTCACCCTCTGCAGAGTATTTTCCAAGTTGGGCCAAGGAATTTGCTTTTGTACGGGCCAAAAGGGCTTTTTGGCCCGCTTCTATGTTCTCAGGCTGCCCTTTCCATGCCTTGAGCACAGAGTTTTGTAGGGCACGTGCATATGAGAAGGACACGTGCCATGGGTTTGGGCTTTGGTTCATTGCATGAAGATTCAAAGTAGCTTCCATTTCAGATTGCCCTCCAGATAAAAACTTAAAAAAAAAAAAAAAAAAAAATCTTTTAGTGTCATCTAGCAAAATGGAAGGTAAGTGGAACCCACAAAACCAAAGATAGTGAAATGACCAAAATGACCTTTTTCAAAGTCAACATATGAAGGGATTTTTTTATGTTAAACTTAATGTGTAAACTAAAGAAAGAAAATAATGAATGAATGTACCATGATCCCTGGAACAGCAGGTGGGACCCGCCTGTTGAGCATGGTGAGGGTATATTTGGCAATTGTCTCTGGGGAGGCTTTTTGTTTATGGTCAGCCCCTGGGGTAACCATACTAGGTTTAAGCAAGATTCCTTCAAACATAACATTGTTTTCTGCTAAATAATGGAACACTTCAGCCCAAACTTGTTCAGCAACTTCAAGTGTCCTTTCAATTGAGTGGTCCCCATCAAGAAGAATTTCCGGCTCCACTATAGGCACCAAACCATTATCCTACACCACCAAATACCAATCTACTTTCATATATTTCTTTATTACATTATTACAATATTACCCCATATTAAAACATTGTTATTTCTTGCATTTAGCCTTGTAATAATTAAGAACACACACCTGAGAAATAGCAGCATAACGTGCAAGTCCCCATGCAGCTTCTTTCACAGCCAAAGCAGAAGGACCACAAGGAATGCTGACAACAGTCCTCCTACAAACAATGAAGATAAATTACAAATTTAACCCTGAACTGGAAAGTGAAAAGGATGCAAAAACAACAATATGTCTCTCTCACCATTTAGCAAAGCGAGCTCCTTGACTGTAATACTCAGCAGATCTAGATGCCAATCCATCTAACCCTTGACACCAAGATTCATTGTTGGATCCTGGTAAGGGTACTAAACCCTTTTAAGAATCGGAAATCAAACAGTTAAAAGAAGTTACAGATATGTTTTATACAAAAGAATGGATTTTTTTTTTGTCATACCTTATCAACTTTGATGCCAGGGACAATGTTTTGCTCACGTAAGCAGTCAACCATCTTCTTGCCATCTGTTGTTGACTGATATAGAGTTTCCTCAAATAGGATTGCACCAGAGATGTATTGACCTAATCCAGGAGTTGTAAGTAAAAGCTGTCTATAAGCTTGTCTGTTGGCTTCAGTGTTGTCTAATCCAATGGAATCCAATCTCTTCCCACAAGTTGCATTTGATTCATCAATGGCAAGGATACCACGCCCAGGTGATGCGATTGTTTTCTACTCAACAAGTAATTCGATTATAATCTTTAGTAAGCTTAGAGCTTTAATTGATTCTTTGAGTAAGCTTATAGTGCATACTTTAATGTGGTTATCATCGATTTTCTTCAATTTTGGTACAATTCATCTAAACCTAAACATGATCTACCTAATGATGAGCCAAAAAGATGATGCGTTTGAACATAAATGCCAAAGTGAGCTAATTTTGTAGCTGATGGAGCCACACACTATGTCTATTCAGTTATCACCAGAGTTCAATTCATTATCATGATAGCATATCAGCATTACACATCAACTCACCTTCCCATGCAAAAATCCAAGAGCAAACTAAAAAGCCAACCATGTCAGGTGCAGTTGTAGAAGTTAACTTATGTTGTGCTTACGATTTACGAAATGAGAACAAAAATTTGCGCACGCGAATGTGTAAGTAGCAGGTATATGTGAGATGGCTGTTCATGATACTAAAAGGTCAACATAACAGTGATTAAACGAATTTAATTCAGTTGCGATGAAATTAAACCCTAAATCAACTAATACCAACAGCAACATTCTATGATCAGATCCTCCGATAATAACGTAAACAAAGCATCGAAATTCAAAATTCTCGCAAAAAAAAAAAACGGAAACCAATCGAAAATAAAATCTGAAGTAGAAAAACTCACGGCGGTCTTGACAAGTTCCTCGGAGTACGATCCAGCACGAACGACTGAAACACGACGGACGGGCAACCGTGAAGAAGATGCCGGACGTTGATTGAAGGATTGCTGACCGATCCACTGTGAAGAAGACGCATTTAACTTGGTGAAACTAGCACACGCCATTGAGATCGATTCGAGAGTTTTCTCCTTTGATCTCTGTGTGTGAAAATGGAGGATTACTCTTTACACCAGAGAGATTTCGGGGGTTGCAAGAAGAAGGCGTTGCTTATAACAAGGAAAACGAGGAAGTAAGCGATGCTAATATGAGTTTTCTTGGGGGGTCCGAAGGTAACAACAATAAGACAAGTGCACCAAACAACCAAATTGACTATTTTGCCCTCGTTTTAAATGCATTGCGAAATAGATTAATGGAGGCTTCTTCTTCTTTTTTAATATTTTGATTATTTTCTTTTTAAAAAACATAAAGGAAAAATCAATTTTACTAAACATCATACAATTTCGGCATTTTTTATTTTTTTTAAAGAAACAAGCGAAAGGGGCTTTTTGGTAAATTAAGATTGAGGGGTTGGTGATAGTTGGGGACTTGACCTAACAATTGACAACTTTCCCTTTGTGTTCTCCTCCCTTTTTAGCAAAGATAGTTATGTACATCAACCATCCTCAAGGTTTAAGTATAATTACAAAAACTTTACAAAAGTCTAATTTATTGCATAGATATTATCTCTATAAGTTTGCATTTTTTAAACATCAGAACTTAAAAACAGCCATTTTTCATTTTCTTTTCAAGATAATTTTGAGTTTTAGCACTTTTGGAGTTATTGTATGTAACCTATTTTGTCTCCCTTAAATCTCAATTCTCAATAATCATATAACAACTATGTATAATACTAAATTATGAAAAACAAGTTGTATGTATCTCATGTAAAAGGTGTTCAATAATTAAATAAACAAAAAGGAATACATAGAACTTATAACTTCCAAATAACCTATAGAAATTACACAAACAAAGCTACAACAAATTAATTTGGTAGAAAACACTGAAGATCACATCTTAAAACAATTAAGAGGAGAAAATGTTAGTATGTTACTCCCCACCAATTGGTTTCCTTTTCCTACCAAGAACAGCAGCCTTTTGAAACCTTGGTCCACCCATTCTCCATGTTTTAAATGCAGCAGTTGATGACTTAGCAGCATCATACACTTCAAAATCACAAAACAAAGTCAAAAAAAATAAAAAGTATATATGATTATGTCATTATGATGATTTTTTGGAAATCTTACATTTAGTTTCTTCTTTTGTTAATAAAGATAGAAATTTTGGGGTGAGTGCTGATGCTGCAGTATGTGCCTTGATCAAGACTTCTTTGTACCTTGTCTGGAAAGCAACCAATAGTAAAGATCCAATGCTTTTGTCACCCATTCTGTCATCCATTCACATCATAAACATAAATCTTGTTTTTTTTTTTAAAAACACAAATATAAAAGAAAAAAAAAATACTCACAATTGCACTATCTTGCATCCTAACTCATAGAAATATGAGCTTCGAGATCTTAAGTCCACATGTGCACCATCAGCCCCTATTTCTTCCCTAGTCCTAACATATATATAGCAACATACTTTTATTCATTTCTTTATAGTATTTGTTATAACTTATAAATGTATAAGCTTTTTATAAAAATCAAAAGCTTACTTTTTATTGAAACAGGGAGGAATGGTGACAGATACTGCTTGTCTTAGGTGCAGTTCTCTTGCAAGCCAGAATGGTAATTCTACCTTTGACCTTGGTTCTACCTGATTTTACAAAATATTGACTTTTTTTTATTAAAAAAAAATTAGTTATCAACATATTGAAGTGAAGATTATGTGAAATTATTACCCTGTTTGCTTCATTTGATTCAAACAAACCAACTCCATTCACTGCCTCTAGGAATACTGCTGGAACAAGCTATAAAGAAGAATAGACAATGTATTAGATTTGCATACTTTCTAAAAGTGACATGAGTGAAGAATTGTGAAAAGAAATGAGTTTAAACCTCTTCATCTGCTAGAATGTCATCAATATCATAATAGTTTGCCATGATTGTAGGAAGAAGCTGCTGTTCTTTAACCTTTTGTCACAACTCAACACTTGAACACACTTAAAGTATCAAGAACCAGATCAAACTGCACAACAAGTTAACAAAAGCTAAAGTACTCAAGAACATCAACTATCTATGGTGAAAATGAAAAAATTGATAAATTAAGAAATTGTTGAAAGGTAATAGTGAAACCAGTCTACTATACAAGACCAAATTAGTTGAGTCAGAGTTCATCCTCTATTTAATATCTTCTTAAGACAAAAACGTTAACAAAAACAGACAATAAGAAATCACGAATGATATGTAGCAGAGACAAAAGGATCAAATTTTGATTTCCAAACTAAATTGAATAAAAAATAATCGCCATCCACGTACTCTTTAAGCACTGATCTAGACATCAATTTCCTAATTTCAACAAAAAATCAAAAACTGAAATGATTACCTTCCTCCTCAGCAGTCAACATCATACCAACTGAGGAGTGAAGAACAACAAAACGAAACCCTAACCCTAAAAAATGGTCCAATTTGAGCAAAAAAATCAGGGAAATCATACCTTCGCGCTTTTTTCAAGTTCGGAGATACGGTGTAGAGCGCTGAGACGGTTGCTGGAGCCGGAATTTCCGCCGATTCTTTTTTCCACCGGAGAGCAGGATTTGGGTTTGCGGATTGTGTGTTTTGGAACTCGCGGGTTATTTTGTTCTGAAAATGAAATTTGGTTAAGCGGGAATTTAAATTTGGGTGTTGTCGACATCACGCAAGCCACATCAGATTGCATCTCCTTTGTTGTCATCTCAGTTTTGACATATATGGTAAAGCTAAAGAGTGATTACATTTCTAACATCTGTCATTTCATTTTATTTTACTACCACATTGTTTGCATATGTTTTTGGGATAATGACTTAGGAGGGTAATTAGGTTTCCAGTTTGTCCGTATTAGGTCATTAAGGTTTTTTTTTGTGCGTATTAGACCAATATGGTTGTTATTACCGTTTAGAAATAGTCATTTTTACCGGTAAAAATGCCTATTTCTAAACGGTAATAACAACCATATTGGTCTAATACGCACAAAAAAATATTAGTGACCTAATACGGACAAACTGGAAACCTAATTACCCTCCTAAGTCATTAACCCTAATTATTTAGAAAACATGCTTACTAATCAATGTGACTGACTTGCTTGACTGAAAATAGTTGCTTCCATTTAAACTTATCACAACCCTTTCAGAATTTTCAAGTCCAAAAAACTCATATGATTGATGATCTTCATTACATAAATATGCAACATTTTATCAATAACTTCTTTTTTGTCATTTAAATGTTTACATGAACACATCCATATATACAAACACAATCTCACTTTCATACCTCCCATCAATGTCTACATTTGATAACGAATGGAAATGTAAAACCAATGGGGACTTGCAAAGGATGCCTATTATCAATTATTTTATAAACAGCAAAACCACAATATGAACTAAGAAACTGAAGTTGCAAAATGAATAAAAAATCAGCACATAAACAAACACATACAGACTATATATACAACACATAAACGAAAGTTTATAAAGCATGAAACTTAATGACATGAAAAGTAAAAAACTTAAAGGAGACTTTATAGAAAGAAAGATCACCATTACTTGCCACAAATGGTTGAAGACATCAACAAGAAGATCAATCTGATCATGGAATCCACATACTATCTGATCATGACTTCAGTAGTTCATCTACTGAAACGTAAGAATTGCAATTGAACTCTATTAACATTTGAAAAGGGAATTAGGGTTTCATAGAAGACGACGAAGGGTTTAAATTTTTTTTTGACATTTCTCGATTTGTGCATGTCATCCTTGCGCAAGGGTCATGCTAATCTTCTCTGTATCGTTCCAATTTTATCGGATGTCCCCGAAGGGACGACTATAGATGAAGAGCTTCGCCATATAAAGGAGTAGCAGGTTCTTCTTCTGGTCGATATGGGACGACGCGAGTTCTAAACGAACTAGTTTACTGTTGATGGTCATATATTCTCAATGTCTTTAAAATTAAGGTTAATAACTTAGGTGGGTAATTAGGTTTCCAGTTTGTCTGTATTAGGTCACTAAGGTTTTTTTTGTGCGTATTAGACCAATATGGTTGATATTACTGTTTAGAAATAGACTTTTTTACCGGTTAAACAGGAAGAAACCGGTAAAAATGACTATTTCTAAACGGTAATAACAACTATATTAGTGACCTAGTACGAACAAACTAAAAACCTAATTACCCTCCTAAGTCACTATCCCTATTTTTTTTAGTATTTGATAGAGAGTAGTACCCCCAGTGTATATGTATATTCTTTATCAAAACTAAATAAATTATATTTTTATAAACATAAAAATTTAATATCAAATAAAAAGGTTTTTGTTTTTGGACAAAAAATACAAAGTTGCCTAAACTTTGTATATAACTTCTTTATCTTCTTCAATTCTATGGTTAAAAAGAATACACCAAATTAGCAACAAATTGGTTAAATGTGAAGTGGGATCCAGTCAAAATAAGATGCACCAATCACAACCCTTGAATACTATCTTATTTTTCTCTCTCCTCTAATTACACATGTGGCGAGTCATGGGTGGCGAATTGCTTAGCGACTTCAATGGGAGTGGTTAAGACGAGGCTAGCGAGTTGGAGACTAACGAGCTGGAGGCGAGCTTGGCTAGCGAGCCACTCCCTCTGGTAAATAGCATGCCACTTTGAAGGGGTAGGTCAAAATTGCTTTTTTGAAGAAAAAAAAATAGTCTTTAACCCTCCATCTCTCTCTCCTCTCTTAGCGGCATTTGAATGTCGGTCAATACCACCATAGGGGGGGGGGGAGAGTGGTGTTTGCCAAAATTAGCCTAAGTTAAAAGTTGAAACTATTATTCATCATCACCATATAGCTATAAAAAAAACATTTGACAAGCGACAAGCTCACATCACATACTCTTTTGTTTCTACCCTAAGCTAAAAGTTGAAACTATTATTCATCTTCCCCATATACCTATAAAAAAGATTTGACAAACGACAAGCTCACATCACATACTCTTTTATTTCTTTGTCTATTATACGTTTTATTTATTTATTATGTTTTTGATTTTGATATATAAACTTATTCATTTATATAAATGACTGTGAAATATTTATCATATTTATTTTATATTAATTTTAGCATATATGGAAGGCATAACAAAACAGTTTCAATTATTTCAATTATTTCGTAACATTTTAATACTTAGTCAAAGTTATAAAAGTCATTAGGAGGTAGTAAATTGATTGCCACTATGGATTAGTCGGTCTGATCGGAGATTAGTGGGCGAGTAATTAGAGACCGTAAATTGTAACTCGTTAAATTTTAAAAAATCAAATATGACTAATATTATTATAAAGTTGATAAATACAACTAATATAATATCAAAATATGTTAATGATTAATACTATTCCTCAAATAATTTTTATTGGGATAATTTTTCCAAATTGTTAAAAATTCACCGATTTCTACAACTTAACTCATTTTCTAGGCATGAATTAATTGGGGATTGATCGAAATTTTTACAAGACGGTTTTTAATATATTTTTAACTACTTAACACATTTTAATAAATAACTCATCATTCTTTTTACAACTTGCAAATGTCAAAAAATAATATATTATATCATTATCTTTTACACATTTAAAACAACAATTAATTATTTTTAGACAAAGCTTCAAAAATGGTCCCTGTGGTTTCAAAAAATCTGAAGTTTGGTCCTTAATTTACAAAAATCTCACGAATCGTCCCTGTGGTTTCAAAACTTTTAACATTTGGTCATTCCGGCTAACTCCGTTACCATTTAGCCGTTAAGTCAGGGGCATTTTTTCATTTTTGGACCATTTATGAGGTTTTTAATTATTTTTTTTTAAATAAAAAGATAAATAATATTTAATATGCAAGGGGTCCCACACACACTCTCTCTCTATCTATATATATATATATATATATATATATATATATATATATATATATATATATATATATCTCTCTCGTCACAAAAAAATCATCTTCACGCCTCCACCACCTGCAACATCATCAAACCGCCATTGTCAAATGCGTAAGAATGGGGGTTGTTTGGAGATGGGTTGAACGTGACTAAAGCAAAGGCCTTTTTTCCATACAAAACCAACTTTAATTATAACAGAAATGAACCCACTCATTACATACATGAAATTATAATGAATACAAACTTGTTGAAGAAAATATTTGATTCAAGCATTTCATCGAACACTTGGTGTGCATGTAAAGTTAGAGTTTAGTGCCAGAAAATCATGCTTGTGAAAATGGTGTTAGATAGTGTTTGAAATCAAATGACAAAGAAACTTAGGAACGTACATACGTTTCAGTTTATATCCACTTCATATATTGTTGTTGAGCACCTTAAAAAATGAGCCCTGCAACGATGATGATTTGGTGCTTCTATTGCTTGTACTATCAAAACCAAATGTGTTTGGAAACAACCCAACATGAAACGATGAACTATTCCCTGCTTCTTTTTTCACTCGTCACTGACTCCTCCCTTCTCGATGTATTTGATTGAGCTTTTGTCAGCAGCGGGTTATTGAAGGTTTGAGGAATTAGACGGGGTGATGTAAGTTTGCAAGAGAGAAAGATAGATGGATAACATATGTGAGTTTTTTCTTTATTTTTAAGTTGCAGGTGTGTAAGGAAATATATGTGGGTTTTTTCTTTATTTTTGAGTTACAAGTTGAAATAAGAAAGAAGATGATGTAGGTTGAGTTAAAATGCAGTTAAAATGAGAGAGAGAGAGAGAGAGAGAGAGAGAGAGAGAGAGAGAGAGAGAGAGAGAGAGAGAGAGAGAGAGAGAGAGAGAGAGAGAGAGAGAGAGAGAGAGAGAGAGAGACCTTGCATATTAAATATTATTTATTTATTTATTTTAAAAAAAAGTAATTAAAAACCTCATAAATGGTCTCTGTGTAATGAAATGATAAAAATGTCTCTGACTTAACGGCTAAATGGTAACGGAGTTAGCCGGAAGGACCAAATATTAAAAGTTTTGAAACCACAGAGACGATCCGTGAGGTTTTTGCAAATTAATGACCAAACTTCAGATTTTTTGAAACCACATGGACCATTTTTGAAGTTTTATCTTATTTTTATGTATTGCAAATTGGGCGAGTAAATAGCAAATTATTATGTCAAAGTGGTATTACGAAAATAATATACAATATGTTTTTTTTTATAATGGAATCCATATAACGAATAAACTTGTACGCATAATATTTAAATTTTAATCAAATTTTTTATAATTACGAAGATATAATAGAAGTTTGGTTGATTTTTTTATTATTTATTGATGTTTTAAATTATTTATGTTTTCTTATGTAATTAAAAATAGAAATTAATAGCAAATTAGCAATCGACAAACAAAGGAGTTAGTGTGTATATATATATATATATATATATATATATATATATATATATATATATATATATATATATATAAGTGTTTCTAACATCTATTGTGTGCTCGTACGCACAAATCTAGACCAACGGATGGAATAAAATCAATGGTCATGATCTCAGGGTCTAAGATATTATAATAGAGTAACATGTACCATATAATCACACAAATTTCAACATAAGGGTATTTTAGTCAATTAACCTATATTAGAAAAGGAAAATTTCGAATTTTTAGGGATAATTAATTCTCTTAATTTTTAAAATCTGGATTTTTTAAATTAATTCAATTTTAATTCTAACGTAATTTTTTAAAATAAACC